CTCGGGCGGGTGGGGAGAGAAGGCCTCCCCAAGGTGACTGATCAGAGACCTGAAGTGAGGGCGTGAGTTGGGGGATGATCTCCGGGGACGGCTGCAGACAGCGGGAACAGCCAGTGCAAAGGCCTGGCGAGTTCCGTAATAGCAGCAAAGGCCCTGAGGTGAGGGGTCGGGAGGGAGCTGACCCAGCTGCAGGGTCTGGCAGATGAGGCCCAACCTCATCAAGAGCAGCTGAGCCGACAGAAGGCTTGGGCAGCGATCCAGGTGGGACCCCACCTCCACGGAGGGTGGCAGTGGTTGAGGGCGCAGCTTTAGCCAGAGGGTGTGGCTTTGGGCCGGGGGCGTGGTATGTTGCTTGGGGGCGTGGCTTGGGGCTTAGGGTGTGGTGTGGTTGGGTGTGGCTTTGGGCTGAGGGTGTGGTGTGGTGGTTGGGGGCGTGGCTTTGGGCTGAGGGCGTGGTGGTGGTTGGGGGTGTGGCTTTGGGCTAAGGGTGTGGTGGTTGGGGGCGTAGCTTTGGGCTGAGGTTGTGGCCTTGGGCGTCACTTGGCGCTTCAGGCTTTGTACAGGGCAGGGCCTGAGACTCTGTGTACGCCTCCTTACCACCTCTGTCCACGGGCTGTGGCGGGTGGGCCGAAAACCACGCATACCAGGCACAGAGGAAACGGGGCGTAGTGCAGGGAGTCAGGGTGTTTTTGTTGTGGGCGGGGGCTGGGCGCTACTGGGGAAGCCCTGGGGCAGCCGGCACAACTGGCTCCCTGAGGCCTGCGGAAGGCCGCCCTGCTTGCTTACCCACACCCCCACTTCCCAGACTCACCCGCGCAGAGAGGCCCCTCTAGTCCGCAGGGTGGCTTCTAACCACTGTGCTCTTTCATTCCGGTTTTGCTTGTTCAGGAGATATCTATGGGGCAGCTGCTATGTGCTAATAAGCGCTGTGTCAGTCTCCAGTGGCAGGAGCAGCGACTGTCACACCTTATTAGTCACCGAATGAGAGTTAAGCCAAAGACACCACTTCCTCTCCCACCCCTTTCCTCTCTCTCTCTCTCTTTCTATATATATATAATGTACACACACACACACACACACACACACACACACACACGTATTTTGAATTGGGGTCTCACTCTGTTGCCCTGGCTGAAGTGTAGTGGTGCGATCACAGGTCACCGCAGCCTCACCCTCCTGAGCTCAGATGATCCTCCTGTCTCAGCCTCCTGAGGAGCTGGGACTACAGGTTCTTGCCACCACATCCAGCTAATTTTTTTGATTTTTTTGTGGAGATGAGGTCTCGCTATACTGCTCACGCTGGTTTCAAACTCGTGGGCTCAAGCAGTCCTTTCACTTCGGCTTCCCAAAGCATGGGACCACAGCCATGAGCCACTGTGCCTGGCCTGTTTTTGTTCCTTTTTAATTTATTTACTCCTTCTCCTATTTTTTTCTTTAATAAAGATGCCCAGTGCTGGTGAAGATGGACTGAGGGGACATGGCTGTTCATGCCACTTATTGTTACTATTATCTGTTGAGGTGACGTTCACATAACATAAAATCTTAAAGTGTGTGATCCCATGGGAGTTAGTACAACCACAGTGTTGTACAGTGCTGTCTCTATTTCCAGAACGTTTCCATCACTTCCAAAGGAGACCCTGGACCCCTTCAGCAGTCCCTCCCTCTGCCACTGGCAGCACTAAGCAGCTTTCTGCCCCTGGATTTGTCTGTTCTGGATGTTTCTTGTATGAGGTCCTACAGCATGTGGCCCCCTCCCTGAGTGTCGTGCCTTTTTTTTTTTTTTTTTTTTTGATTTGGAGTCTCACTCGGTCGCCCAGACTAGAGTGCAATGGCCGCTTCCAGTCACCGCAACCTCGCCGCTGGGCTCCAGCGATCCTTCCACCTCATCCTTCCGAGTAGCCTGAATTACAGGCATGCGCTACCATGCCCGGCTGATTTTTTTTTTTTTTCTTGTAGAGATGAGGTCTCGCCAAGTTGCCCAGGAGGGTCTCGAACCCGCGGGCTCAGGCAATCCATTCACCTCAGCTTCCCAAAGGCGCAGGATTACAGGCTGAGCCACTGAGCCCGGCTTGTCGTGCCTTTAAGGCTCACCCATGTTGGGGCCCATTTCAGAGTGTTCCCCCTATAGCTAGTACTCCGTTGTGTGACCATACTGGGTTCTGCTGCTCCCTTCAGCCACTAGTGGACGTGTGGACCTCCTGTGCTGTGGCCGTGGGCATGGAAGTATCTGGTCCCTGCTTTCAGCTCTTTTGTGGGTCTCTGCCCGGGCGTGGACTCTCTGGGTCCCAGGAACCCGATGTTTCGCCTTGTGCAAATGCACCCACATTCCAATTATTTACAAAGATGGGTCAGGTGTGGTGGCTCACACCTGTCATCCCAGCACTTTGGGAGGCACAGGTGAGAGAACTGCCTGAGCCCAGAGGTTCGAGACCAGCCTCAGCAACTTGGCAAGACCTCATCTCTATAATAAACCAAAAAATTAGCCAGGTGTGGTGGCACGTGCCTATAGTTCCAGGCTGAGGCAGAAGGATCACTGGAACCCAGCAGGTCAAGGCTGTGGTGGCCATGAGTGTGCCATTGTACTCCACCCTGGGTGACAGAATGAGACTCCGATTCGGAAAAAAAAAAAAAAATTCGGGCTTGTTAACCATGGTCTAGTGGGCAGCTCTCCCCTGGGGGCATGCTGCTTGTCATAAAGACCGAGGGTCAGCACTGACATCTGGTGGGCTGGAGCCCGGGATCCTCACACCTCAGATGCCAACAGAGTGGAGTTGCAGTCCCTGTGGTGTGACCTCTGGTGGGGCATGGAGAAAATTGGGCACAGGGGCAGGTCTGTGGGAGCTGGCCTTCCCCTCCAACCTATCCTGATGTTGTCGTCTTCCAGGGCTGCTGTCACTAAGTGCTACAGACTTCGTGGCTGTAACAGCAGGAATTTATCTCCTCCTGCCTCTGGAGGCTGGAAGTCTGAGGTGCAGACATTGCAGGGTTGGTGTCTCTTGGGGCCTCTCTCCTTAGCTCACAGGTGGCGTCTTCTCTGTGGCCTCGTCCCTATGGGTGACTGTGTCCTAATCTCTTCTTTTCAGGACGCCAGTCAGCTGAGATCAGGTCTCACCCTGGGGACCTCGTTTTACCTTAATCACCCCTCAAGACCCGTCTCCGCACACAGCCTCATCCTGAGGTCCTGGGGGCTGTGATGTCCCCTGTGAATCTGGGGCATGACTCAGTCCCTGACACGGGCCTCTCCTCCCTCTCTGCACAGACTTCTGCCAGCTGTCAGGCATGCATCTGCTGGTGGGCCAGTACCTGGAGGCAGGGGCTGCGGGGTTGCGGTGGCGGGCGGCGCAACTCATCGGCACATGCAGCCAGAACGTGGCGGCCATCCAGGAGCAGGTGCTGGGCCTTGGCGCCCTGCGCAAGCTGCTGCGGCTGCTGGACCGTGACTCCTGCGACACGGTGCGCGTCAAGGCGCTCTTCGCCATCTCCTGTGAGTGTCCGGGGTGGCGCCAGGGGCTGGGGATGCTTGGAGGAGGGCCCAGGCCAAGACCCCAGCTAGCCAGACTGAGGGACATGCCACACAGGAACCTTGGGAGTCGAAGCTGCCCTGGGCTGGCTTGGGCGCTTAGCGCTGCTGGTGTGTGGGGCGGTTCACCCTTTGTCAGGGCACGGTGGGACCCTGAGCAGTGTCTAGTGGGCAGCCTTCCCACAGTGGAGATACACTTGCACCCCAGCTCAGATAGCCACAGCTGCCTCCAGGCCTCATGAGAACCCTTCAATCGAGAACCCTTGCTGTACACAGGTCCTTTTTTTTTTTGAAAAAAGTATTTTTGAGTTGGGTCTTACTCTGTTACCCAGGCTGGAGTGCAGTGGCACAATCATGGCTCATTGTAGCCTCAAATTCCTGGGTTCAAGCAGTCCTCCTGCCTCAGCCTCCCAAGTAGCTGGGACTGCAGGCACATGCCACCACTCCTGGCTGATTTTTATTTTTATTTTTTTGTAAAGACGAAATCTCACTATGTTGCCCAGGCTGGTCTCCAACTCCTGGGCTCAAGCAGTCCTCCTGCCCCGGCCTCCCAGAGTGCTGGACTTACAGGCATGAGCCACCACACCCAGCCCACAATTCTTTTTATTCTATGGCCCTGTGAAGTAAGGACAGTTCTCATCCTTGTTTGAAACGGAGCTGTGGACAGAGGGATTTGGCCAGGGTTGTGCAGCATCGAGGGGCAGAGCTGGCTCGGACTCCTACCTATGCTGCCTCTCAGGAGACAGGTGCCAAGTTGTGGGGAGGACAGACAGAAGCCACTTGTCTCTGGGGTGCTCTCTGTGCCAGACGTTAACTGGTTCAGTCCTCGTGCACACCCTTGAGGTAGGACCGACTGTGTCTCCTCTGCATAGGAGGGATTGGGCTGGGGCCCAGTGAGGACACACAGAGCCCGGGCTCGAGCCTGGTGGTGTTCTTCCCCGTGGTTCAGATGTTCATCTGTGCGAGGGCTACGCGTGGACACCGTTGGACGGTTTCCCTTTTGCTTAAGCAGCTTTATTTAGACATAGTTCACCCACACAATCCGTCCTTCTACCATGTGCCACTTAGTACTTTCTAGTATATTTCCAGGGTTGTGCAGGTACTGCCACTGCGTGACTTCAGAACATTTCCTTCTTTGCCCAGACCCGAAGCCCCTCACCCCTAGCCAGTCCCCTTAGCCCTCCCTCCTGGTGCCTGCTGCCCTGTCTCTGAGGCCTTCCCTGTCCTGGACGGCCATGCCGATGGAGCTGTGCCCAGTACCCTTTTGTCTCTGGCTCCTTTCACTTAGCATAAAGTCCATGCATGTTGTTGCAAGTGTCAGTCTTCATCATTCTTTTCTGAATTGGGGTCTCACTCTGTCGCCTGAGTTGGAGTGCAGTGACATTGCCATAGCTCACCACAACCTTGACCTCCTGGGCTGTTGATCCTTCCAGCTCAGCCCCCCAGGTAGCTGGGACTACAGGTGCATGCCACCATGACTAGCTAGTTTTTTTCGTAGGGATAGACAAGGTCTCGCCAAGTTGCCCAGGCTGGTCTCAAACTCCTGAGCAGAAGCAGACCTCTCGTCTGGGCCTCCTAAAGTGCAGGGATTGCAGGTGTGAGCCACGACACCTGGCTCATTCCTCTTTATGGCGGAAAATACCCCATCGTGTGGATGGGCCACATTATGTCTGTGCATCCATCTGCAGATGGCCATCTGGCTGCTCTGTCTCTGGGCTCCCGTGCTGTGGGAACACGGCTGTGTGGGGCTCTGTGTGGATGCTTGTTCTCCTTATTCTCATTTCTCCTGGGCACATTCCCAGGAGTGAGCTACTGGGTCACGTGGACACTCTCTGTTGATCTCTTCGAGCTTGGCTGTTTCTCAGCCCCAGAAGTCGTGGGGTCGATGAGATGGGGGAGGAGAGGGGTCCCAACACCCCTCCCCTACCTCGTGCCTCCCAAGCTCTGGTCTTCCAGCATCCTATTCCCATGAGAAGGACAGATGGTGCCGTGGGGCACAGAGGCCTGGAGAGAAGCACGGAGGGCTTGGCTGGGAGGAGGCTTTGGAAGAAGGAAGCAGCCTAGCAGGGAAGGGAGGGCGTCCTGGAGAAGGAAGCGTTCAGACTGCCCCTCCCAAACTAGGGAGAAGAAGGTAGACAGACAGGGGCGGCTCTGCCCCAGAGGGCAAGGAGGGGGTGTGGTGTGGGGCCCCAGGGCCAGGCAGGGGTGGGGGGTGGGAGGGACAGCAGGACTTTCTTTTGCTAGCTGGCATTTCAAAAGAAGTCACTGAACTTTTAAAATCTATGAGACAGTCACATCATTGACAGTTTGACAGGTGCAAGAGAGTACTCAATGGAAAGCCTGTCCCCAACCACTGGTCCCATTAGAGCAAACCACTGTGAGACCAGCGTCTGCTTCCAGAGGTCTTAATAAATCTGTAAGCAAGTGTGTGTGGTTGTATATGCTTAGTGTGTGTGTGTGTGTGTGTGTGTGTGTGTGTGTGTGTGTGTGTGTGTCTGTTCAGTTGCCACTGGGTGAATCTGTGCTGGGGGCCCTCTGCAGAGCACAGCCCCTCACTCTGGCCACCCAAGGCAGTATTGTGGTGTCTCTGCACTCTCCGCCTCCCCCAGGAAGGCACAGCCTCCCTCCCCTTCAGAGTGGCCCTTTGTTTCCACAGAGAGAGGACTTCTAGGGGTCAGAGGGCAGTGGGGCGGGAGGCCATGGGGGGCGGTCCACACTTTGTGCTTTTAGAGCAGTTTTAGGTTCACAGCAACATGGAGAGGGAGGTCAGGAGGTTCCTATTACTCCTGCTCTCCATGAGTACAACCCCCATCCACGTCCACGAGCCTGTGTGGCCACGTCTCATCACCCGCAGTCTGTGGTGTCCATCAGGACTCACTTGTGGTGTCCTGTGGGTCTGAACAGGTGTGTGGTGACCAGCATCCATCGTGACAGCCCCCCACCCAGTGGTCTCCCAGCCCTGGATTCCTCGTGCCATGCCCGTTCATCCCGGCCGGCTCCTGTCCTGCTCTCCTGGCAGTCTCCATATTTTGCCTTTTCTGGAATGTCGTTTGATCGGGCTCTGCATCTGCCGGCTGTTCAGATTGGCGCCTTTCACTTTGTCATATGCATTTACGGTTCCTCTGTGTCTTTTCTGGGCTTGACAGCTCATTTCTTTTTAGCGCTGAATAAGCGTAACTTTTTAAGGAAGCTGTGTGGGCCGCCAGAATGGCTTTGGCGTTCTCGCTGAAGGCGACAGCAGCTATGCTGTGACCCCCCCATACTGCCGCAGAGGAAAGAGGGCACATGCGGTGGGGGGCACAGGAGGGAGGAGGGAGGTTATGGGAATAACTGGGCAAGAGGCAAGGGCCGAGTGGGGAGCAGGGCAGTGCCCCAAACGGGGCGGCCGTGTCCTCCAGGGGACGCAGGGTGAATGCTTGGAAATGCTTTTGGCTGTCACAGCTGGGAGGGAGGAGGTCCTGGCAGGGAGTGGGCAGGGGCCAGGGATGCGGCCTGCCACCACAGTGTGCAGGTAGCCCCAACACAGAGGGACCTGGCCCGAGTGCCAACTGCGCCCAGGAGAAGCAGCCAGGCGGCTGCGGTGCATCTGAAGGTGGGCCAGCAGGCCGTGCTTCCTGGCTGAATGTGGGGGTCTTCACAGCTTCCACTCCCCCCAGGCCCATTCTTTTTTCTTTTGAAATGAAATAACATTTTATTTAACCCAATATATTCAAACGATTAGAATTCCAACATGAGATTAATACAGAACATTAATGAGATTCTTTGTCTTTTTGTCATGCTAACTCTTCAAGACCTGGTGTGTATTTTACAAATAAAGCACACCTCAACTCAGTTGCTGAGTTCTCAGCAGGGGGCGTGAAATAGCATCAGATCCAAGCAACTTTTTTTGGATCCAAGCAAAAAGGTTGCATTTAGGCTGGACGTAGGGGCTCACACCTGTAATTCTAGCACTTTGGGAGGCCAAAGTGAGAGGATTGCTTGAGCCCAGGAGGTCGAGGCTGCAGTGAGCTACAATCACACCACTGTGCTGAGTGACAGAGCAAGACCCTATCTCAAAAAAACAACAACCCCCCCCCATAATTAATTATGTTTAAGGGAAAATATTTTACACATCTGCTGTTTTACTTTAAGTTTATATGAGTTGAACTTGGATGAAATGAACAACTCAATTTCTCAGTTGCCCTGGCCACATGCCAGATACTTAGTAGTAGCCACAAACTACTAGTGGCTCCTGTCCTTCCTTGGCAGTGCAGGCCTCAGCCTCCCCAGGAGCTGGCCACTCACTAAAGGGGCACTCATAGGCTGGTCCTTGTCCTGCGTGGAGGCCTTCCAGAGTCTCATCTCCTTCAGGATGAAGGGCCTGCATGCTCTGTAGCTTGGGGGCCTCAGTTTCCTCATCTGTAAAATAAGAGTCTGAGTGCACCCACCTGTAGGACAGTTGGGAGGTGTAAAAAGAGATAATGCCACCCGGCTCTGTGGCTCAGCCTGTCATCCCAGCACTTTGGGAGGCTGAGGCTAGTGGATTGCCTGAACCCGTGGGTTCGAGACAAGCCTGGGCGACTTGGCGAGACCTCGTCTCCACAATACATAAAAATTAGCAAGGCATGGTAGCATGTGCCTGTAGTTCCGGCTACTTGGAAGGCTGAGGCGGAAGGATTGCTGGAGCCCAGCAGGCTGACGCTGGGATGGTTGTGAGCATGCCACTGTACCCCAGCCTGGGCGATGGAGTGAGACTCCAACTCAGAAAAAAAAAGAAGATAATGCTTCCATCAACTGATGAATGGAAAGACAAAATGTGTGTAACCATGCAGTGGAATATTTTTCAGCCATGAACAGGAATGAAGCACCAACATAATTTGCAACACGAATGGACCTTGAAAATATGCTGAGCAAAAGAAACCAGACACAGAAGGTCACATATTGTGTAAATCCACTTATATGAAATGTCCAGGACAGGCAAATCCATAGAGACAGACATTAGATTCATGGTTGAAGGGATTGGGGAAACTAGGAGTGATTGCTAATAGATACAGGGTTTCTTTTGGGGGTGATGAAAGTGTTCTGGAGTTGCTAGTGGTGATGGTTGCACAACCTTGTGAATGTTTTAAAGATCACAGAGTTGTACACTTTAAAAGGGTGAACTGTGTGGATTGTGAATTATGTCTCAAAAACATACGTCAAAAAAGTTAACGCCTGCATAGTGCAGGCTCATCGCCATGGAAGGCGATGATGGTGGTGGTGGTAGGATGGTGATAGTGGTGAGGATGATGATGGTTATGATAATGGTAGTGATGGTGATGGTGACACAAGACCCTGCCTTCCCCTCCAGGCCTTGTCCGAGAGCAAGAGGCTGGGCTGCTGCAGTTCCTCCGCCTGGATGGCTTCTCTGTGTTGATGCGGGCCATGCAACAGCAGGTGCAGAAGCTCAAGGTCAAGTCGGCATTCCTGTTGCAGAACCTGCTGGTGGGCCACCCCGAGCACAAAGGTGGGGGGTGGCCCCTGAGAGGGGGCAGACGTGGGGGGAGCAGATGCCCTGGGGATGGTGCAGGTGTGGGGGAAGGGGAGGAACAGACACCCAGGGAGGGACCAGGCATAGCAGACCGGTAGGGCTGCCCGCTGACCTTGCAGCCCCTCCCCCAGGGACCCTGTGCTCCATGGGGATGGTCCAGCAGCTGGTGGCCCTCGTGCGGACGGAACACAGCCCCTTCCACGAGCACGTACTTGGAGCCCTGTGCAGGTGCGCTAGGGCCCTTTGGGGGCGGGGTGGGAGTGGGATCCCCTGGGCAGGGGTGGCTCAGGAATTTGCCCACCAGCCTCCTCCTCCCTAGTGGCCCTTCCCCGTGGGCATCAAGGGTTTGGGTCAGAGAGGAGGAGGAATCAGGGAGCCTCAGTTTCCTCCCCTCTGGGGTCTGATGCTGAGGCCTTGTGGGTAGAAGAGAGGCTTTCTTACCCCCCACGCCCCCACACACAGTGCAGGTGGGTCAGTGTCTAAGCAAATGACGGGGTGAAGCCACCTGGGAGTGGGCTCTGAATCACCTGTGCCTGGAACTGCACCGTCCTCCCTGGCTGATGCAAGGTCCGACTTGCAGATAGGGAAACCAAGACGGGGGTGGGGGGAGGGCAGCGATGTGCCAGGCTCTCTGGGAGCAGTGGGGAGTGGGCAGCGCTGCTTGTCGAGAGAGGTCATAAGGGCTCCTCTCATGTTCCCACAGCCTGGTGACAGACTTCCCGCAGGGCGTGCGCGAGTGCCGGGAGCCCCAGCTGGGCCTGGAGGAGCTGCTCCGCCACCGCTGCCAGCTACTGCAGCAGCACGAGGAGTACCAGGTGCTGGGGGGGCCGGGGGAGGGGGAAGCTGCATGGTGGGGGCTGAGGAGGTACCAGCCAGCCTGTCCTCGCCCTCAGGGGCCCCAGGGTCTGCTGGCTCAGGCTCTCCTTACATTCTCTCTTTTTAAAAATCTTTTTTCTTTTCTTTTTTTTTTTTTTTGAGTCGGGTCTCCCTCCAGGCTGGAATGCAGTAGCGTGATCATGGCTCACTGCAGCCTCGACCTCCTGGGCTTAGGCAATCCTCCTGCCTCAGCCTCCTGAGGGCTGGGACTACAGGCACATGCCACCATGTTCAGCTAATTTTTGTAGTTTTTGTAGAAATGAGGTCTTGCTATGTTGCCCAGGCTGATCTCGAACTCCTGAGCTCAAGCTATTCTCCAGCCTCAGTCTCCCAGAGTGCTGGGATGGCAGATGTGAATCCCTGTGCCTGGCTGCCTGCTCTCTCTCTTTTTATTGAGTTGGAGTCTCACTCCGTCACCCAGGATGAAGTGCAGTGGCATGCTCATGGCTATCCCAGCATCGACCTGCTGGGCTCCGACAATCCTTCCACCTCAGCCTTCCAAGCAGTTGGAACTATAGGCACACACTACCGCACCCAGCTAATTTTCAATTTATTGTAGAGACGAAGTCTTGCCAAGTTGCCCAGGCTGGTCTCGAACGCGTGGGCTCAGGCAGTCCACTCTCCTCAGCCTCCCAAAGTGCTGGGATTACAGGCTGAGCCACTGAGCCTGGCCTGCCTTCTCTCTTTTTTTCTGTGCGTTTCACTCCTCTCCATTTAGCAAACAGTGATGTCATCCTTCCTGTTCCCTGTGCTGTGTCTGTCAGGGGAGAAGACAGGGAAAGGGAGAGCTTAGAGGTTCTCAAGGGTTGATGAAGTTATCTAAATGTTATCTACGTGACCTGATGTCATTATTTAGCTCCTGTCACTCACATCAGAAGGATTACGCATTTCAATTGATAAGAAATAACAAGTAAATGGCAAATAACCAATTATTTAATTAGATAAGTAGCAAGTGATACATAACACCATTAGCTATTTAATTAAATATGTAAGTGACACATAAGTGATAATACATTAGGTAATAAAACATGTAAGTCAAAAATAAATGCTCAATCACAACTAATGAGATATTCAGATAGCTCAGTTAATTGCTTGTGAGGTAACAGATTCATTCTTGGAAGTTCCAACTACCCAGACGCTGGTGCCCACCCTCCTGGGACGTCCCTTGTATTGAGTTCATTCCTCTGTGGATGCCATCAAGTGTTTACGGAGGGGCGCTGGGTGGTGGGTGCAGGGGTGACGAGGAGAGAACAGATAGCTGTCCCCAGCTGCTGACCTGCTGCCCTTATCACTGGAACCCACAGACATAAGTGTCTGCAGTCTATGGGCAGGGGAAGTCAGGATCAGCCTGAGCTGGGGCTTCAGCCACAGAGCGTGTGGGTGTTTTGTGGTTTCAGGCTGGAGTGTGTTGGTCATGTTCATCTTCCAGGCATCCCCTGAGCCTCTGGTGTGCCAGACCCTAGGCCAGGCAATGTGGGGCTCACCCTTGAGGCCTGCCTTGTCCCTGCCCTGGAGGTGTTCAGGGGCCAATAGTAGTGGCCTCGTGTAACCTAACCAGCACTCTTTTATCTTTCTTTAAAAAAAACAATTTTTATCTACTTTATTGAGGTATAATTGTCATATAATAAACTGTACATATTGTAGCTGGGTGTGGTGGCATGCACTTGTATTCCCAGCTACTCAGGAAGCTGAGGCAGGAAGAGCACTTGAGCCAAGGAGTTTGAGAGCAGCCTGGGCCACAGAGCAGGAGACTGTTTCAAAGAAAAAACATATTTTGGGAAGCCGAGGCAAGAGGATTGCCTGAGTCCAGGGGTTTGAGACCAGCCTGAGCAACTTGGCGAGACCTCGTCTCTACAATAAATTAAAAAATAAGCTGGGTATGGTGACAAACGCCTGTAGTTCCAGCTACTTGGAAGGCTGAGGTGGAAGGATCAACAGCCCAGCAGGTCGAGGCTGTGGTGGCCGTGAGCATGCCACTACACTCCTGCCTGGGTGATAGAGACTCCAACTCAAAAGAAAAAAAAAAGAAAAAAACCCAAAATCTACCTGCACACATTGAACATGTACAATGTGAGAAGTTTTGACATATATGTAAACCTGTGAGATATTCATTCTCTATCCCTCCATTTGTCAGGTGGTGGCTCACCCTCTTGCCAGGCCCCGACTTGGGTACTGGGGATTCTGTACTTTGGGAACAAAGACAGATACAGTCTAGGCTCTTGTGGCACTCATGGGGTGAAAGCTAAACATATGCAGATAAGCAGACACATACATGGTGGGTACTTGTATGCATACGTAACGTAATTTAGTATATAAATTATATAATGTCAGAGAGTCAGCTACAGCAAGGAAAAATCAAACTGCTAAGGGGATAGAGAATGCTGAGGGTTATTATTTCAGGTAGGGTAATATATTAGTGTCCTGTGGCTGCCGTAATAAAGTGAGTGTCTTAAAACTTTATCATCTCACAGCTCTGGAGATTAGAAGTCCCAAATCCAGGTGTCTGCAGGGTCCTGCTTTCTCTGAGACTCTGGTAGAATCCTCGCTTGTCTCTTCCAGGTTCTGGCGGTTCTGGCAAGCCGTGGCTTTCCTTGGCTTGTCAACTAGCACTGCAGTCTCTGCCTCTGTTTTCATGTGGCCCTCCCCCTCATATGTGTTTGTGTCTGTGTCTTGGAAATCTTTTCAGATAGGAAAAGTTGGTCCACCTGAATTTCAATGTAATTTAATAATCCACTTGCGCCGTACTCCCGAAGATGACTATATCATGATTTAGCCAAGCCTTTTTGGGCATTTCTGTGGGCATGGGACAGAGTTTAATTTTACTAATGCTTCTTGAATAGGTCCCATAGTCACATGGTTCAAAATCCAAGCTTCACAGGATACAGTCTTCTACCCTGTCCCCAACTGCCCAGTCCCTCACATGTCCTTCCTGAATTATCAGGTGAATGTATAAGCAAAGGTGCGTAGAAAGTCTTCCTTTCCTCTATTTTGTGCATAGTCAGCCTGTCATGACCGCTGTCCTGCCCCTTGCCTTATTGTCTTTATAACATCTCCCAGAGTGTATTGCATATCTGCACCTATGGCTCTTGCATTTTTTTTTTTAATTTTTAGTTTATTAAGCTGGTCGTGAAAAATCCAAACAATGGCCACAGATACCGTCACTGCATCATCTTTAGTCCTTTGCCTTTTTGCCAGCACCAACACTGGCCTTTGCAGTCCCCCTGACTTTCTTCATTCTGTTCTTGCGTTCCTTTTGCTGCTTCCTTGAGGTCTTTTTTTTTTTTTTTTTTTTTTTTTTTTGGGTTGGGGTCTCCC